TCAGACAAAAAGAGAGCTGTCGGGGAATAGACTGGCCAGCAATATGGGACTCGCTGCTTATGAGCTGCATCCCAGGGCTGCCAGCGGTGCCCCCCGCAATCAAGACTCAACCTTGAAAGCAGTAAACACCGGGAAACTAATTATACGGGTTTATTTAAGGGACTTTCGCCTCAGACCTGCTTGGTGTTGTGTTTTTCCCTGGGCCCTGTATCTTTTCCTGCTCCTGCTCCGCCCCTTCCCTATTCCTGTCTTGTTGCTGCCCCCGGCTTGATTCTGACCTCTGCTACTTCTCCTTTTTCTACCCTGCTTGTGACCCCGACCATTCTCTCCCCTGCCCCCCTGTACCTACCTGCTGTTAGTTGCGTCCCCTGCTCGTGACTTGACTTTCTCCGCTTACTCCCCCTGTAACCACGCTGCCCGCACGATATTGCCCCGGCCTGCCTGACCCCTTTTGCACTGTATGTATGTTATCGTGGGTGGTTGGTTGGTTCGTTTGCACTGTTTTGTTTTAGTTTTGCACTGCGTTTATGTTTGATTGTTAGTGTTAATAAATTTTTTTAATAACTTATCTGAAGTCTGCGTTTCCCCTGCGTCGTCACACACCTCTGGTCATACCCGGGACCCGACATTAACCAAGGCCAATCCTGACCAAAGGGGCTGCAAGGGGAAGCCATCTTGGTTTGTTGATGGGAAGGAGGATCTGGATGAGGTTGCGTTTTTATATCTGCTAGTTTTTTATGACGGGGATAGCTTATCAAACTCTGAAGGAGTATCCCCGGGGATAATGCTAAATTATAGGGCCGCTCATTTTCTAGTAATCGGGGCAAAAGTTCTCTGAGGTGAAGCTTTGATTTCATAATTCCCCCCCCCTCCCCCCCCACCCCCCAACCCCCCCCCCTGTCTATCTCCCGCCCATATTTAAAAACCAGAAAAAAGCAAAAAAATTCTTTCCAACCAATACCATCCGCCAGACCCAAAACCGGTTGAGCCGCCGTCTAGAACCTGCCTTCCGTGGTTCAGCGGGTGCCTCGGCCCCCGCCTTTCACCTGACCTCTATTCAGCCTGGTCCCTGTACCCAGCCGGGTTTCCCCCTCGCCTGATGCCTCCACTCAGCCTATGCCCCATCAGCCTGGTGCCTCTACTCAGCCTGGTCCCTCTACTCCCCTGGTGCCTCTACTCACCCCTGGTGCCTCACTCAGCCGGATGCCTCTATCAGCCGGATGCCTCTACCACCGGATGCCTCTACCAGCCGGGTGCCCTACTCAGCCTGATGAAGATCCACCCTGATGACCTTTTAGGCCGTTACTCATACCCTGTTGATCCGACGATCCGGTACCTGATCCAGCCCCCGCTTCACCCAGACAAAAAAAGCTGGGGACCCGGTCCCCTGCCTTGAAAATGATGGGGTGCCCGCTGGCAAGCCAAAAACCTGATGCCTTGTAAAACCATCCCCCCTGTCATCCCTGGTGACCATCCCCCGCGGTCGAGCCAGACAACCCGGGTACCTGATGCCCCGGTGCCCCTGTCGTCCCAATTTGACTCAGAGCCCGCTGTCATACCGGGTGACTGGGTGCCCACTGCCTTGCCAAAATGACGGGGTGCCCGTGGCGAGCCAAATGCCCTATCCTGGTGACCCAGTGCCCCTGTCATACCTGGCGACCCGATGCCCGCTGCGGCCAGACGATCCAATCCCGGTGACCCGGTGCCCACTGCTTCCCAGATGACGCGGTGCCGCGGGCAAGCCAAAGACTATCCCTGGTGCCCCAGTGCCCCTGTCAAACCTGGTACCCGATGCCCGCTGTGACCCAACAATCCGGTCCTGATGACCCGGTGCCCTGTCGTGCCTGTTGACTGGGACCCCCTCCCTTGCCATATGACCGGTCCCCCGCTGTCGGCCAAATGACCTGATGCCTGGTGACCCATCCCCGCTGTCCAGCCAGAAGTCAATGTCTGCCCCAGTCCCCGCGGCCCATGCCAGTTGACTCGGACCCCACTGCCTTCCCAGAGGACGCGGTGCTCGCTGTCGAGCCAAATGATTGATCTGGTGACCCATCCCGCTGTCCAGTCAGACGACCAATGTCTGACCCAGTGCCCGGGGTCATACCAGTTGACTCGGAGGCCATGCCTTGCCAGATACGCGGTGCCCGCTGTCGACCAAATAAACCTGATCCTGGTGCCCCGATGCCCGCTGCCCAGCCAACGATAAAATGTTGACCCAGTGCCACGGTTAAAGCCAGTTGACTCGGAGCCCCTGCGTGCCTGGTGACTGGGTGCCCGCCGCTTCCCTGGGGGCCCCGAGACCTGGCTTGCCTGGGGGTCCGGCCCCCCCGCCCGCCGGGGGTCCGGCGCCTTCGCCCCCCCTGGGGCCGAGACCGTCGCTCCGCCTGAGGGCCCGAGACCTGTCGCCCACCGGTGGGTCCCGGGGGGCTGCCGCCCTGGTGCCGTTGGGGGGGCCTGGGGGGGGGGTGGGGGGGGGAGGGGGGTTTTGTCCGTGGGGGGGCCCCCACCCCCCCGCCCGCCGTGTGGGTCGCGTCCGCCGCTCGCGTTTGGCCCTCCCCCCCCCCTCGGTGGATGCCGTTGGGTCGGGCTGCCGCCGGCCGCGCCTGCGGGGTTTTGCCCAAGTCCGGCCGTTGCCTCTGCCCGGAGTTCCGGCCCGATGTGCCCTCCCGGGGTCCTGCCCGTTGCCTCTCCCGGGGGTCCGCCCCCTGTGCCCTCCCGGTCCCCCGGGTTGGGCCCGCCCGGTTTTTCCCTCTGCCGATGTGCCCTGCCCGGGTCCTCGCCCGATTGCCTCTGCCCGGATCCTGCCCGATGTGCCTCTGCCCGAGTCCTGCCCGATGTGCCCTCGCCCGGGGGTCCGCCCCGGGGTTTGCCCCTGCCGGGTGTGCCTCTGCCCTGCTTCCCCGGGAGTCCAGCCCGAGTGCCTCTGCCCGGAGTCCGCCCAGTGCCTTCCCGGTCCCCCGATGTCCCTCTCCCCGGTCCGCCCGATGTGCCTTGCCCAGTCCTGCCCGATGGCCTCTCCGGGTTGCCTCCCCGGGGAGTCCGCCGGTGTGCCTCTTTGTTCCCCCCCTTCCGCCCCCCGGTGGCATTTTGCCCAGCGGCGTTTGGGGATCCTGAGGCCGCTCCTTGAGGGGGGGGGGACTTCGGGAAGGACGGCCCCAATAGTGGGACTCAGCTGCCTTATGAGCTGCAGTACCGGGCGGCCAGCGGGTGCTCCCCGCAATCAGAACTCAAACCCTTTCAGCCAGTCAAAACCCCCTGGAACAAATATAGGGGTATTTAAGGGACATTCAACCTGCAGCCTCGCCTTGGTGTTGGAATTTTTTTTTTCCCGGGCCCTGTATCTTGTTCCTGCATCCTGCTCCCCCGTTCCTGTCCTGTCCCTGCCTGTCTTGTTGCTGCCCGGCTTGATTCTGACCTCTGCTGACTTTCTCCTGTTCTGACCCGGCTTGTGACCCCCCCCATTCCTCTGCCCGACCCCCTTACCACCTCCTTTAGTTGGTACCCTGCTCATGACCGACTATTCTTGCACTCCCCCTTTTCCACGCTGCCCCCACGATTTGCCCGGCCTGCCTGACGACGCTTGTACTGTTTATCTGTGGGTGGTTTTGTTTGGTTCGTTTGCATGTGTTATGTTTTGCATTGCACTGCGTTTAGTTTTATTTTTAGTGTTTAAAAATTGTTTATAACTTATCTGAAGTCGCGTTTCCCGCGTCAGTCCACACACCTCTGGTCATACCCGGGAGCCCTGACAAGAGCATTGCCAGGTTTTTGGGAACTTTGAGTGGAAGGCACCAAACATGAGCAGGATCAAGGTCAGGGGTAGGAAAGGTGGCAAAGTCAACGCAGGGGGGACTAAATTCATGGGGCCCCCATCAATAGGGGATCATGGGGCCCCGTTTTTCCCTTTCCCAAACTCAAAAAGCCTATGAAAAAGGTACCAGGGGGACTCAGGGGCCCCCACTGACCCCCGGGCCCTCGGGGAGTACCCGAGTTTCCAAATGGGCAGTCCCCCCTTTTGGCATTAGGGGGTACAAAATAGATAGGCAATTCTTGGGGCAAAGTCAGGCCCAAAGGGTTTGAACCACAAAAAGTAGCATCTTGACACATAGCACTAGGGGGTTTTTTAAAAGGAACCAAACCGACTGCCACAGGGGATGACTACAGTGGTCAACCTGCAGTGGAAGCTGCCATTTTAGTTTTGGGGGAAACCTGCAAATGTACAAACAAAATAAACAAAAAGGGGGCAAAACCTAGTGGGTTATCAAGCACAAAGGATAAGAGAGTACATACTGACAAAAGCAAAAAATGAACACACTGTAAAAAACAAGGGAAACCCAAAAGGGGCTTTCCATAATGGAACCATGAGGTCTAAACAAAAATCATAATACCACTGGGCGCATTTCGGGGGTTAACCCCCCCACGAAGAGTTTTTTTTTTTTTTTCTGGAAAAGGGGGGGATGTCCCCCGAAACACTTCTGGTTTTTTGTTTGTTGGCCTTATAATTTTCATTGTGTAAAACCCTTTGGGTTTCTTGGTTTATAACAACGCTGTTACACTTTTGTTTTTATAGATTACTCATTAATCTGTAATAAAGTTTGATAAAGCACTAGGCTTAGCACCCTTTTTTTTAACCCCCTTTAAACCCACGTCACATAAAAAAGCGGCCTCACAGAAGACTTTTTTTCCCTGGGGCCGCATATTTGCATGCCCGTCTTTGTGCTGAAGGGTCGCCGCATTTGGGGCACTCCCCGCACAAAGACCGGGTGTCACTGAGAGCCCCCGGGTCCCCTTCTAATATCGGGACCAGGGCCCCGATTCTGGGGCACATATTGCTATGAAGCCTCTGATTGGCTATCACAGGATCAGTCACTGTCAGCCGGCCCCCTTGTTTTTTTCTCTCCTTTGAATGGAGGAGAGAGATACATTGTATCTTTCAACTCCTAGCTAAAAAGAAAAAAAAATTGTTTGTTAAAAAAAAAAAAAAAACAAATATATAAAAAAAAAAAAAAAAAAAAATAAAGAAAAAATACCTAGATCAGAATTGATTATTAGTGCCAGGGTTATTGTTTGGGGGAAGGTCAGGTCAAAGGGCAGGGGTTTTTTAAAAAAAATTGTATCGTGCAGTTAATGTCATGCCAGTGTGTTTTTTGGGAAAAAAAAAAAAACAAAAACAAAAACCACTAAATTTTTTCTGGGCTGTACAATGGGGACAAACAACAAAAACAAAAAAATTATTTGGGGTTGTTCTTTGGTGAAAGGTTATGGTAAACAAGAAACACACAACAAATAAAAAAAAAAAGATTTTTTTTTTTTACTATTTGGGGCCCGTTTTTCTTTGATAATGAAAAAAATTTAGGAATATCCATTACCATTTTCCACCAAATGAAAACCCCAAATTTGTCCTGAAAAAAACGCAGTATAATTCACCTGGATGTACAAAGTAGTTCTGATGATATGTACGGTTTTACTAAACACATGTCAACATTGCAAAATTGTGCTTAGGCATTTAGATTTTGTTTACCCTTAGGTGTGAAGGGTTAATTTTGTGTGTTACAGCATTCCACTGCAGGTTGAGCACTGACAGTCATCACCTGTGGCAGTCAGCTTGGTTCCTCTAGAATCCCCTAGTGCAGGGTGGGCAACTGTGGCCCTCCAGCTCTTGGTGAACTACAAGTCCCATCATGCCTCTGACTTTGGGAGTCATGCTTCTAACTGTCAGTTTTGCAATGCCTCATGAGACTTGTAGTTCCTACAACATGCGGAGGGTCACAGTTGCCCACCCCTGCCCTAGTGCTATGGTTTGTTTGATTTTGTTCTGTGTTAGTAACAAAGGTAGGCAGCAAACATAGCCAGTCAAGGATGAGCCAAAAGCAGGTTAAAATGAAAGCTGGGTCAGTAATAGGGTAAAGCAGATTCAGGAGCAGGGATAACGGTGTCAGAAACATAAACCAGGCGGAGACAGAAAGTGCAGATAAATCGCACCTTTCTTGAATAGCAATATGAACACAGTTCAGGAATGTAGTCAAAACAGAAGCCAGTGTTTGGATGCTATAGCGGGTTAAATCAGACAAGCCAGGGTCAGGAAACCAGCTTAAGCGTAGATCAGGAGCCGGCGATGTTCAGTGAAAACAGAAAGTGGAGCACCGATGCATAGTCATGGTAGCCAAAAAGATCAGAACTTGTAACAGCCAAAGGTCGAGCTAGGGAGATACCATTGGTGTTGTCTCTCGCTCGACTTCCCTAGGCTCTTATTCTGGCTGTGTATACAGGGAGCAAGGGAATTGTGGCCGCCAGCGTTATAAAAGAGGGGAAGGAAGAAGAGTTGTAATTATGAAGTTTGTTTTTATAAGCTATATTGCAAATGTGGTATTTGCCTTTTTCATTTTCTGAGTGTGGTAAGGAAGACTGTGGGTGTTTTAAGGACAGGGCAGGGTGAGACTATGGAGTGTATAGCCAAGGTCAGCTTATATATATTTTTCCTAGGGATATTTGTGATAAGTTAATTCGCCTAGTTGGGTTAATAATAAGGAATAGGATATTGGAGGGGGTTTAAGGGAATTGACGGACCCAGGCTGATGTTGTACTTATTAAGTCATAGCCAAATGGGATGGATTACGTTTGAGCTGCATTTTATTGACCACGTAAAGGGCAAATCAAAACCTTGGATTTAGCACTGACATATAAGGGACATACAGTGTAAACGCATTTAAAGAAAGCTTCCATCAATAGTACTGATTAGATACACTATTGGCATGGGCCGGAACTATGCTGCATTGTTCTGTATGCATACACTTAGTATTAGGTCAATGTTTGTAAGTGTTTTGTCTGGTGAGTAGATGACCATAATTGCATTCAATTCAAGAACATTTGTTCCAGAGACGCACATTTTTTCAATAATAATTGGGGCAAGCACTGAGATCTTGAGCTAGTATGCTTGCAGTGGTCAGCAAAACACGGTGTAGCTTCAAATTAGGGAGCTAGGAATGGGGTTTTGCTCTGCATTCAGGTGCACAATGTCAAAACTGTATAGTTGGATAATGATTCACAATTCAATATAATGTCACAGTAATCAGAGGCGATGTTGGACAGTACAGGAAACAGTTGGCAGGCAGTCAAGTCCTAACATTTAGAATAATGTGGAGTGCTTAGAGTGAAATTGAAATGAAGACATCAGGGAGAACTGAAAAGCACTCTAACCAGTATGTACGTTTTTAGGATGAACTCATGTCAAGAATACTATTTTTTTTTTACAGTTATTAAAAATGCTAACGTATACACAGGTGATCACCGCAAAAAGTAACAAGTAGATCGTGCAAAAGTAAAATTAATTTCACGCTAATGCAACTTAAAAGGACTAAACAAAGTATAAAGAGCTAACACATTACATGTCAGAAGTTCAAGATAATTGCATGCCAATGATTTGCAGATAAATTTGGTGATCCATACGAATAATGGTTTACAGCACATGAAGTACCCCCAAGAGAATCCAGACCCACGCGAGGGTGAAAATTAGTTCTAATTAGCGTCACTAATAATAAAACAAGGATTGTTATACATACCCGCACTGGGAAATACGCAGACCGTAACTGGAACCAAGGTTCCCGTGCGGCAAAGCATGGCCCTATGTGACATGGCACGGAGTACATTCAGTTGAAATGGGCCCCGATGTTTGTGCCCGTGCATTTAACTGCAAGCTCGCCACTGCGGCAATAGATGTGCAACCGGGGGTGAGGTAGTAGGAGCCCAGCCATGACAAATAGGGCACTCAAGATGAAAGACCATATCAGACGGTGACCTGGGGCGGAATGACCATTTGGAATACTCGATTAAATTCACTCTGCTGCATTGCCCGATCGGGCTGGTCAGTACATGGGCTCACACTTTCTGAGTATGGCAATGGTCCCTTTTTACATAGCTTCTCTAATTGTGGGTCAGAGGACACAGGTCCCCATGATGCCCCTATTGCCCGGTCCCCATGAAGTGGTCTGTGATCGCATGCAGATGGCACCGAGGTGTTAAATAGCCCACAGATTACACCATTGAACTGCGTGATTGGTTCATGTTAGTGTCAGTTTGTGCAGTAGCCAACACAGACATTGCCAACCCCCCACAGAGGAAAATGACATCAAGTCCAACATCCCCTTCCCCCAGGAAAGAGCTTGTCATTAACGTACGACAGCCGATGCCCCCCCAACCTGTGAAAGCCTGGGGGTAGCGACCATCCTGCCAGTAGGCACGGGCGGAGCGTTATTAGTCACCCCGGCACGTGACTTAGACACTGACCTGCAAAGCTGGACCAGACCATCCAGCAGTGGATGACATGAGTCCAGCCCCAACATACAACGCAGACGTGGTGAAAACTTCCCCAGCTGTACTCTACGATCCCACCTGGTCACTGTGCAGTGTGTGTTCCTTCTCCATCTCCTTCTTTCAGGGATGGCTTGCACCCCTAAAAAAATGCTGCGCCCCCCTGAATAATGCCGACCTAGGCAAATCCTTGTTTGCCTTGTGTAAATACCATTGCTGATTTATGCACATAGTAGCATGTTTAGTTGAGACTCCCTGACCCGTAAGGCGGTCACGACCTTTTGCTTGATGTTTCAGTACTTGATATTGACGTGATATTTGAGATCAAAACTGAATATCTCATTTTTAGCCCTTGCTCCTCTATATTGCTGCCGCCTTGTGTTTTTTGTCACTTTTATGTTGGTATTCCCATTTTTTCCATCCATTTTCATCACCCTGGGTTTTTTTTTTTATCTTCCTATACCCTTTTTTTCATTGAGCTACCTTGTTTTCCCCACTTCAGTATGTTAAAAAATTGTGTTAATAATAATCAATGTAATAAAAAAACATGACGGGATCTGGATAACTAGATGGCAACCTTTACTCTAATCCCATCAGGTCCTTCCTTGTGTTCTCTTACGCAGTTACTGCATTCATCATTTGATCTTCCCTCTTTCTCTTTTTCTTTTCCTTTTCAGTTGTTTTATTTTTTTCCACTCAGTTTACACATTTTCTGTTGATTTGTTAGGAGCACTTTGGTCATGGCGATAGGCTTTACTTCACACACTGCGTTATTTACAGTCTGGATGGAGCATTCTTATATTACCCGACTCCTTCTTTATTCAATGCTGTATAATAGATTTACTGACAGTATACTATGGTTTGATGTGCACTGGTGTTCCTGAATATATAGTTTGTTACATGTTGCACTTATAGACTGGGTCTTCACAGCCAGGAATATTTATTTTCTACATCTGAGCAGCTTACTTTTCCATAGGGATTGGCAGTGTGCTGTTTTTAAGGCATATCTAAACCTTAAACCAAAGAATTCAGTAAATTGCTGTTTATTATTTTTATACATTGTATCTTTTTTATTCTTTTTTGCCCTTTATTTTTAGCTGGTAATACTGGAAATAACATGCTTAACTGTTCAAGGGTGCACTTGTCCGCTGTATCTATGGAAGGAGCCATGGATATCACCCATTTGAAGAAAGTGGAAAACACCATTGGACCCATAAGGGTTTAGTTACTAAAACTGGTTCACTCAGAATCTCGTGCACTTCTGCAGAGAAACGGATCAGTTTAAACAGATTTTGATGCTAAAGCTTATGGCGGCCATACATGGGTCGAATTTCGACCAATCTTTCGTTTGAAAATTGAACCTAAGAATAATCTCCAATTTTCTCTCTGTTAGTGGGGCAACGTAGGCCGATTTTCGTGGTTTCTCCCCTTTTCATGATCGGGCATGTGGGAAAAATTGTGAAAAATGACCGATTTTACTCAAATGTTGGTCAAATAGTACGATCGTTTTTCCGAAAAGAATATGCGCATGAGCCTGGGGTGGACTGACCATTTGGAAACTCGGGCACTGCCCGAGGGCCCGGGTCAGTAGGGGGCCCCATTATGATGCCCCTGGTACCTTTTTTTCATAGGCTTTTTTAGTTTTGGGAAAGGAAACAGGGGCCCATGATCCCTATTGCCTGGGGGCCCCATGAGTTGTCAGTCCGCCCTGCATGAGCCATGACCTGGAAGGAAAAGAAGTTTTGCTGTACTAAATTTCTGTTCCAGAACAAAGGTCAAAGCTGTTTAATGTCAACAAAAACATTACTAGATGGCTTCCTGTGTGTGAATAAATATACATATATGCATTGCTCAGGCAGGCCCTCTGTGCTAAACTCTATGAAAAATATACCCCCAAAAGTCCATTCTCTTTGTCAGCCTTATGTATAGTGGGGAGGGTCTGAAAGGTCAAAAAATGAACCCATAATTTCATGTTATATGGGGTTGAACGTTATAAACTTGGACGGCCGTTTTTCAAAATCATTGTTGGCACCATCGGATTACCATCGCGAACAACGTTTTCAATTTGTTCGCAATTGGGACCCAAGCTAATTGGCTGCCATGCACAGCTGCACCAGATTCTGAGTGAACCAGCTTTAGTAAATCTCCCCTTTAGGGTCATTTTACAGGTTTTGCTACCTTAAGTACTGATTCTGATGTCAATGATTTTGGTTCCTGGGCAGGCAACTTCTACA